AAGCAGCCCGTAGCAGCTGACTAACTCCCATGTATCTATTTACTGCTAGGTAACAGGAGCATCAGGGTGAAAGAAACATTTTGCCCACTTGTCTCTGCCTCCACCGGGGATCGAACCCGGAACATCAGGACTACGAAACCGAAGTGCTGTCCACCAAGCTGTCAGGCGCCAGGAGGACAGGCACCCAGCTCACAGTCGCCTATCAGGCGTGGAAGAACATCCGAAATACCAGAACACCAGGAAACAGAGAGATACCAGGGAACCAGAAACGAGTATGTTTGTGTGAGAAGAGAAGCAAAGAAAAAGTATAAAATGATACAACAAATAAAGCCTAGACCGAACCCTAGCTACTCCACAGTCACATCAGGAGAAAAACAATAGTGAAAGTACGGGTGATATAACTTAGAATGGGTGAGGACAGGTATACAGAGAATGACAAAGAAGTGTGTGTGAAGAACTCTACAAGAGGTTCCAGGAGGTCTTCACAACAGAACGAGGTGAGGTCCCTGTACTAGGAGAGATAGCAGAAAACCAGGAAACCTTGGAAGGGTTCGAAATTACGAGAGAAGAAGTCAAGAGACACTTGATGGATCTGGATGTGAGAAAGGCTGGTGGTCCAGACAGAATTTCACCTTGAGGTTATCTTGAGGTGCTTCCGGGGCTTAGCGTCCCCGCGGCCCGGTTGTCGACCAGGCCTCCAACGACCCAAGGCGTCGACCTGGGTACTGAAAGAGTGTGCAGAACCACTTTGCTTGCCACTCTACATAGTGTATAGTAGGTCACTGGAAACGGGAGACCTACCAGAAATATGGAAGACGCCTAATGTAGTCCCAATATACAAATGGGTGACAGGCATGAAGCACTGAACTACAGGCCAGTGTCCTTAACTTGTATACTATGCAAGGTGATGGAGAAGATCGTGAGAAAAAACCTAGCAACACATATGGAGAGAAGGGACTTCGTGATAAACCACCAACATGGGTTCAGGGAGGGTAAATCTTGCCTTACAGGGTTAATAGAATTCTACGATCAGGTGACAAAGATTAAGCAAGAAAGGAAAGGATGAACGGACTGCATTTTTTTGGACTATCGGAAAGCCTTTGACACAGTACCCCATAAAAGGCTGAAAGAATGAGTCTATACCCAGAGGGTATAGACTCATTCCTCTCAACGTTTGCTGACGATGACAAAATTATGAGAAAGATTAAGACAGAGGAGGATTGCTTGAGGCTTCAAGAAAACTTGGACAAACTGAAGAATTAGTCGAAGAAATGGTTCTTAGAGTTTAACCCAAACAAATGTAATGTAATGAAGATAGGTGTAGAGAGCAGGAGGCCAGATACAAGGTATCATTTGGGATATGAAATTCTTCAAGAGTCAGAGAGAGAGAAAGACTTAGGGGTTGATATCACGCCAGACCTGTCCCCTGAAACCCATATCAAGAGAACAACATCAGCGGCACATGCCAGGTTGGGCAACAAAAGAACGGCCTTTAGAAACTTGTGCAAGGAATCATTCAGAACTTTGTATACCACATATGTCAGACCAATCCTGGAGTATGCAGCTCCACCATGGAGTCTATATCTAGTCAAGCATAAGACTAAACTGGAAAAAATTCAAAGGTTTACCACCAGACTAGAACCCGAACTGAGGTGTATGAGCTACGTGGAGAGTCTACGGGAATTAAACCTCACGTTGCTGGAAGACAGAAAAGTAAGGGGAACCACATACAAGATTCTCAAGGGAATTGACAGGGTAGTTAAAGACAGACTATTTTACACAAGGGGAACACGCACATAGGGACACAGGTGGAAATTGAGTGCCCAAATGAGCTATAGAGAAATTAGAAAAACTATTTTAGTGTCAGAGTAGTTGACAAATGGAATGCATTAGAAAGTGAGGTGGAGAAGGCATACTCCATACACAGTTTCAGGTGCAGATATGATAGAACCCAATCGGTTCAGGAATCTGTTCACCTGTTGATTGACGGTTGAGAGGCGGGACCAACGAGCCAGAGCTCAACCCTCGCAAACACAACTAGGTGAGTACGTGAGAGGCGGGACCAAAGAGCCAGAACTTAACCCGCGTAAGCACAACTAGGTAAGTACACACACAAGGGGGTTGGTATCACACCAGTCCCTAGAGCCCCACATCAAAAGAATATCATCAGCGACATATGCTTGATTGGCCAACATTATAAGAACTGTTTTTAGGAACTTGTGTAAGGAATCGTTTAGGACCTTGTATTTCACTTATTTGAGACCAATCTTTGAGTATGGCAGCTCCAGCCTGGAATCCAAACCTAGTTAAATACAAGACAAAGTTAGAGAAGATTCAGAGGTATGCCACCTGATTAGTCCCGGAACTGGCAGATATGAACTATGAGGAAAGGCTAAGGGAGCTGAATCTCACATCCCTGGAAAACAGAGGAGTATGGGTAGATATGATAATCACCTACAAAATTCTCAGAAGAATTGAAAGGTTGGACAAAGTCAAACTTTTTAGCATGGGTGGAACACGAACAAGGGGAACACAGGTGAAACTTAGTACCCAGATGAGCCACAGACACATTAGAAAGAATTTTTTCAGTGTCAGAGTAGTTAAAAGATGTATTAAGTAGTGATGTGGTGGTGGCTGATTCCATACACAGTTTCAAAAGTAGATTTGATAGAGTCCAGTAGGCTCAGGAATCTGTACACCAGTTGACTGACAGTTGAGAAGCGGGACCAAAGAGCCAGAGCTCCACCCCCGGAAGCTCAACTAGGTGAGTACAACTAGGTGAGTACAACTAGGTGAGTACACACACACACACACACACACACACACACACACACACACACACACACTCACACACCATATCGATTTATAGGGACACACGCACTATGGAACACATGTAGTAATTGAGTGCCCATATAGACATTAGAAAAAAAGTTGTTTAGTGTCAGAGTGGTTAATAAATGGAATGCATTAGGAAGTGATGAGGTGGAGGCAGAGTCCATACACAGTTTCAAGTGTAAATATGATAAGAGCCCAATAGGCTCAGGAACCTGAACACCAGTTGATTGACAGTTGAGAAGCGGGACGAAAGAGCCGAAGCTCATCCACCGCAAGCACAACTAGGTGAGTAAAACTAGGTGAGTATACACGAAAACACTCACACACTCCACTCTTCAAAAATCGGAGGGTGAAAAAGACCTCGGGCTTGATATCATGCCAGGCATTTCCCCAGAAGCCCACATCAAGAGGATATCATCAGCGTCATATGCCAGGTTGGCCAACCTGGCATATGACCTGGCCTATAAGAACGGGCTTTAGAAACTTGTGTAATCATTCAGAACTTTCTATACCATATATGTCAGACCATTCCCGGAGTATGCAGCTCCAGCATGGAGTCCGAATATCGTCAAGCACAAGACTAAATTGGAGACAGTTCAGAAGTATGCCACTAGACTAGTACTCGAACGGAGGGAAATGAGTGACGAAGAGAGACTACGGCAACTAAACCACATAGCTGGAAGAAAGAAGAATTAGCGGGGTCATGATCACCACATAGAAGATTCTCATATGTATCACGTCGCATCACACGTCTTGTTGATGATCCATCACGAACCAAAACATTGTCGTTTCTCCTTGTTCCGGTATGTCTTGATTATCTTGAGATTATCTTGAGATGATTTCGGGGCTTTAGTGTCCCCGCGGCCCGGTCCTCGACCAGGCCTCCACCCCCAGGAAGCAGCCCGTGACAGCTGACTAACTCCCAGGTACCTATTTACTGCTAGGTAACAGGGGCATTCAGGGTGAAAGAAACTTTGCCCATTTGTTTCTGCCTCGTGCGGGAATCGAACCCGCGCCACAGAATTACGAGTCCTGCGCGCTATCCACCAGGCTACGAGGCCCCTCTCGTACTTTGGTCATCATTAGATATCTGCAGCCAGCGCTTCTAGTTATATTCTCCAGAATCCTGTTTGTCTTATTCCGGACATTTATTAATTTTTGGGGGTTTAAGGTCCACTACTAATCATGCTCCGAGATCCTGCTCACATCAGGCTTCACAATTTCACATTGTCCGCTGATATCTCACAATTCTGTCATTTTAGAACATAAAACGTTTCTCTGCACTAAACAGTGAGAATGACGAAAAGAGAAGGTGAGACATAAACAGAAATTGAGACACAGACAGACTGATAGAGCGACAGCGATAGACAGAAATGCAGGTTCACACAAAGAAACAGAGTCATTAATACTCGTACATACAGACAGAGAAACGGAATGGTACGAGGACAGAGAGACAGGCGGAGACGGACATAGGAAGACAGAGAGAAATGCAGAGAGAGAGAGAGAGAGAGAGAGAGAGAGAGAGAGAGAGAGAGAGAGAGAGACAAAGAAACAGAGAAGAACTCAGACAAAGAAAAATCCACCGAGACAAAAACGGGGACAGAGAAGGGATATGCTGACATACACTGGTATACTATATATCTTCCCATTTATGTGTTCGGTTCACACATGCCGGTTAGCCCCGAGTACCGGGTTAATCAGCTCACCGGGTCCGCCCGAGCATCACCCGGTACTATATATATATTTATAATGTGATAACATTAAAACTATTATAACTGACATTGGGAGAGATTGTGCTCAAACTACTCTTCTTTCTCAGGTAAACTCTCTTAAAGTGTTTAGTTTAATCTCGAGAAATCCTCCATCAAAGTGTTAAGTTGGTCTCGTCAATTGTAGATTACTTATGTTTTCGTTTTGTTTAGTTATTTATTTCAAAAATAAATTCGTATATCTGTATTTCTTTTTAATTGCATATATGGGAAGATGGAAGATAATCCCTTCCTTATTGTAACTTCTGTTAAAAAATACTCTTAGTTTCCTAATCCATTATTATGCTGTTTTTCTTTCATGTATATAATGAATCTCCTCTTCTCATCATCCTTTTATATATAATGTTCGTCCTAAAAAAAATCTCGCAACATTGCTCATGTATTTTGTCTCTACAGGTTCATCTCACACACCACATCGGGCTGTCCTGATGGGTATATGCAGGTTGAAGAGCTGAGTCGTCCACTCAACTCTGGTTACTGGTGCGGCACGTCCTGGGGCCACAACGTCTTCTACAGCGAGACCTCGGCCATTACCGTGATGCTCCGTGTCTTCAACCTCAGTGATGATGACGGAAGAATCAACCCGGGAGCGTTTTCTCCCCAGGACACTGTTATGCTCGGGGTCTCTTACAAGTTTTTGAGAAGGGAAAGAGCAATACTTCGTTATGGAGCGCCGTACAGTCCTACCTACCGAGGGGAAGATGTGCCAAACACCTTCTGCGACAAGTATTTCGAAAACTGTGACAAGAAGAATTGCAAAGTTCAGTCTCCTAACTTTCCTGGGATGTATCCAAGAAATCTTACCTGTTACTACCATATCCGGCAAACAAGAGTGCCTGATGGAAAGATAGCACTAATCCGCGTTCGTCAACGCAACCCACATCTTATTTACATCAAAGATCGCAATGCCCCACACCTGGTGAGGGATAGGAAGCTCCAGGTGGGCTCCAACTGCTATGTTCTTCACGACTATCTGGTGGCCTTCGACGGCAACACAACGAACTCGCCTGTCTTAGCCACTATATGCAAAGGTGGAGCTCCACTTACTGGAATAACTTCCAGTGGTCCTTATCTTCTCCTTCTATTTCATGCTTCGCCGTTTGACTTCCCTTTCCAGGATTCTCCTCGTCGTCGAACCTTTGGCTTCGAATTAGACGTCGAGGTTGAGTTCGTTGACCGAGAGTCTACTGCCTATATTCGTGAAGGATTGACTTGTGATTACATGGTGAGTAGCCGCGGCCAGCGTAGTGGGTATGTACAGTCCCCTGTACATTCCCTCTTACCGAATACTACCTGTACGTGGCGTCTGTTGGCTGGGAGCACTGAGGTGGTGTGGCTCTACTTCCTCCACTACCGCCATGTTTTGCACCCAGAGATGCCAACACCCACCAAGTGCAGTAATACTCTCACCATAACTGATGGAGACACCCTCACTCCGACTTTGACAACTGAGTCTAATGCCATCGAGGTAGAAAATATGATAAACAGTACCATGAATGCTACAGAAGAAAATGTTACAACCACGACAGTCATAGGACAGTTTTGTCGTCCAGACCGCCTGCCAAGGGTATGTAGTGGTGTTCATGCTCCTGGGCCCCATGCGGCACCTTGCCTACCAGGGGAAAGTTATGTTTCTAGTTCGCCGGCTCTCACGCTCGCCCTTCGATATGCAGCAGGTACGGCTCCAGCTCATATTGAGTTCCTTGCGCGATATGAGTTCGTAGACAAGCGCCAGTGGGGTGTTGAAACGCCTGGTGGAGGTCCATGTGACAGAACCTTTACAATACAACCAGATCGCCTTTTTGCATCTCCTAGAGATGTCTTTCTGTTTGGACGTGGCGGTGCTCGGAAGCTTCGCTGCGTCTATACATTTCAGGCTGAGCCTAATGAACGAATAGTTCTTCGGATCCTACGTTCTCGAATGGGCTCCAGCTGTGGCACATTATACAAACATTCTTCCAGGCGATACGAATGTTCCCACAATGGAGCTGACGACAAGCCTGCTATTTGGATCAAAGAAGAACCTTGGGAAGGAGTCCCCCTAATGCGTGCTTGTATTTGTAATATTTCACATGAAAAACCTTTCATTCTCATATCTTATACTAATGAGATCCAAATCATCTTCAGCATTCCAATAATGACTCCATCAAGTGATTATAATGACTACTTTCTTGAAGGTGAATTTTCTATGATTGACGCCAGCAAGGGTCTAACTAACAGTGACTGTGGACAGGGTACTAGACGCCTAGCAGGTCGACATGGCAATTTCACTGTCGGTATTAGTAGGGGAAGCCATTGCACAACACTCCCACGTCTTGTCACGGCTGCTGATGGCTCTTTCCTCTTCCTTCGCGTGCGTGGCTTCAGTGCCTCAGAGACAAACTGTGATGTTTCAGCAAGAATAAATGTTTATGCCGTTGGTGGCTTAGCTCCGATTGCTTCCATTTGTCCCGGCCAAAACAACGACTATACACATGTATTTAGCAGTGGCTGGCATGGACCTAACCAAACGGTGAAGGACGAACTGGCTGCTACCGACCTCTGGAATTCTTCAGGCAGTATAAACATTGGTCAAAGCAACTACTTCTATCACCAGCAACAGCTGGAATACCAAAAACGAGGGCGCCACCACCAACGACAGCAACAACAAGAATCACGGGACCTGGTGGTGGAATATATTGGAAATTCCACTGAGAAAATCATGATCACCTGGGTAGGGGTTTGGAGACCAATGCAGACGGCACCACTGTCTCCTGTTGGCGTGGATCTCTGTCCCCACAGATGCCCAGAGATCCAGGCTTGTCTTCCAGCTGACCTGTGGTGTGATGGGGCCATCCACTGCCCCTCAGGTCTTGACGAAGGAGCAGGAGCGTGTGGCCTTTTAGCAGCCCTTCCTTGGGTGTATCTTGCAGCAGCCATTGTACTCTTCATATCACTAGTGGCGCTTCTAGTGGCTGTAGTGGTCCACCGTCGCCGCACCCAGGCACAGAAGGATGCCGAGTCCAACATCATTACAAACAACAGTCACGGCCTCAAGAGCACCACACAGGACTTTCTCATCCCGCCGGACAAGGACTCATGGTGACAAGAGGCCCATTCTGGCGACGTGGTGCGCGTGGACTACGAGACCACAGTGTAGCTAGGCGGGGTTTGTGCTCTAGTGTGGGAGTCTAGTGTCACCAGCCGTCGTTAGGATGGGAAGTTATTAAGAAAGAATTATTTGTACATACACCATTTTCAGTATTGAAGGGGTGGTCGGGTTTGTGCGCTTCAGAGCCAATAATAAACGGGGAATATAATAATAAAAGTATTTGTATATATACCATTTTTCGTACTGTAAATATGTATACAACCGTTGAAGTTTTTTACACATGTAAACTAATTGTTATATATCATTGAATGGTATATCCGGTGAGGTAGTAACTGTATGTGTGGGTGATGATAATGTGTTTCCTTTCATGAACTCTGTTTTCTTTTTTAGCAAGTTACAGTGTTAAGTGATATGAGAAGAACCACTATTTTCAGAACTAAATATATTTATTCAACAATGAAAGGTCGTGTACAATTTAGGCTCATGCAGCATTTGGCGTCAATGAAAGACATGTTTACATGTATATATGTATAAATATATATATATATATATATATATATATATATATATATATATATATATATATATATATATATATATATATATATGTATATATATTATTCAGGGTGTCTCTGTAGGACTTGAAGGTATAGACATATCACTCCTAATACATAGGCATCTCAGAATGTGCTTAAGTCAGTCACTCTAATTTTCTCAGTATTGTTCTTCAATTTCATAGTAGTTTATCACAGATTTCAGGTGTTCACAAAGAAACAGGCCCAGCATTGTTAGAGCTGGACTTGATTGGGGTCATTCTTCCAGGCCACAGTTTATCTACCTCAGAGGCATTTCTTAAAGCAAGTAGTATTGCAAATTAGCTGGAACATGTGGTCGAGGCCCAGCTATTGAAGCAACTCTTTGTCTTCATAGGATTTTTTTCCAAGAAATATGGAGCAAAACACGTTACTTTTGTGCTTGATTAGAATATCTAGCTATTATATATTTTCATAAACATAATGACATGTAATCCAGACCTCTATGACACTCTGATTATATATATATATATATATATATATATATATATATATATATATATATATATATATATATATATATATATATATATATATGTCGTACCTAGTAGCCCGAACGCACTTCTCAGCCTATTATGCAAGGCCCGATTTGCCTAATAAGCCAAGTTTTCATGAATTAATATATTTTTTTTATTTTTTTCTTATGAAATGATAAAGTTAACCATTTCATTATGTATGAGGTCAATTTTTTTTTATTGGAGTTAAAATTAACGTAGATATATGACCGAACCTAACCAACCCTACCTAACCTAACCTAACCTATCTTTATAGGTTAGGTTAGGTTAGGTAGCTGTAAAAGTTAGGTTAGGTATGGTTAGTTAGGTTAGGTAGTCGAAAAACAATTATGGCTTATTAAACCATAATCAAAATAACTTGGCTTATTAGGCAAATTGGGCCTTGCATAGTAGGCTGAGAAGTGCGTTCTGGCTACTAGGTACGACATATATATATATATATATATATATATATATATATATATATATATATATATATATATATATATATATATATATATATATATATAGTGGGGAAAGTAACCACAGTGAAGAGATATTATGAGCATTTTCGCCCCTGTGAGAGCCTTCTCAAAGACAGTGAGCACATGTTAGCGCAACGGGCTATAAGAAGACTAAACAAATTAAATATTTATTAGCTCATGTCAAGTCTTTGTCATCGTCATACACTTTGAGCAATAATACTTTACAAAGTGCCGTAAACATCAGTCTATTGTTAGTGAGCAAAAATACAAATAATTAAATAATCACATAATTTTCCTTTGGGTTAGCAGCTTAAGACCAATTGCCTGATCAATAAAATAAAAATACCAAGTAATTTTACACAATAACTTACTACTCATAATATTCCTAATGTTTGAAGAGATAAATGTTCATAAGCAACTGGTAATCGCATTGAAAACACTAGTAATTAGGGACACACATTCGAGGTCATCAAATATTTCCGCTGGACCACTAAATACAGAACACAATGATCGGAACTAATGTGTCAAGTTTAGTTATTTATTATACACCTATAATGGGAGCCGGTCGGCCGAGCGGATAGCACGCTGGACTTGTGGTCCTGTGGTCCTGGGTTCGATCCCAGGCGCCGGCGAGAAACAATGGGCAGAGTTTCTTTCACCCTATGCCCCTGTTACCTAGCAGTAAAATAGGTACCTGGATGTTAGTCAGCTGTCACGGGCTGCTTCCTGCGGGTGGAGGCCTGGTCGAGGACCGGGCCGCGGGGACACTAAGAAGCCCCGAAATCCTCTCAAGATAACCTCCATACCCTTCCCGTGGGCGGTAGTGGGAAGGGTTGCTGAGGCCCGTAATAGGTTCAGGAACTGAACCCCATAGTTCGTTAAGCTAAGCAAGTGACAATCTTGTGAAACTAGTTAGCAATTTTTTTAACACACACACACGCACACACACACACACACACACACACACACACACACACACACACACACACACACACACACACACACACACACACACACACACACACACACACACACACACACACACACACACACACACACGCACGCACGCACACACACACACACACACACACACACACACACACACACAGTAAGCGGAAAGGCCCTAGTATGGGTGAAGAACTACCTAACAGGAAGGAGCCAGAGGGTAATGGTAAGGGGCGAAAAGTCGGACTGGCGAAGAGTAACAAGTGGAGTACCTCAAGGATCGGTGCTGGGACCAATCCTCTTTCTAATTTATGTAAATGATATGTTTACAGGAGTGGAATCATACATGTCAATGTTTGCGGATGACGCAAAATTAATGAGAAGAGTTGTGACAGACGAGGATTTAGGATAATCCAAGAGGACTTAAACAGGCTGCAGAGATGGTCAGGGAAATGGCTACTGGAGTTTAACACCAGTAAATGTAAAGTTATGGAAATGGGATCAGGTGACAGGAGACCAAAGGGACAGTACACAATGAAGGGGAACAGCCTACCTGTAACGATTCGAGAAAGAGACCTGGGAGTGGATGTGACACCTAATCTAACTCCTGAGGCACATATAAATAGGATAATGACAGCAGCGTACTCTACACTGGCGAAAATTAGAACTTCATTCAGAAACCTAAATGAGGAGGCTTTTAGGGCGCTTTACACTGCCTACGTGAGACCCGTCTTAGAGTATGCCGCGCCATCATGGAGCCCCCACCTGAAGAAACACATAAAGAAACTGGAGAAGGTTCAGAGGTTTGCGACGAGGCTTGTCCCAGAGTTACGAGGGATGGGATATGAAGAGCGGCTGAAGGAACTGAACCTTACGACACTAGAGAAAAGAAGGGAGAGAGGAGATATGATAGGGACATATAAAATACTCAGGGGAATTGACAAAGTGGAAATAGATGAAATGTTCACACGTAATAATAACAGAACGAGGGGACATGGGTGGAAACTGGAAACTCAGATGAGTCACAGAGATGTTAGGAAGTTTTTTTTTAGCGTGAGAGTAGTAGAAAAATGGAATGCACTTGGGGAACAGGTTGTGGAAGCAAATACTATTCATACTTTTAAAACTAGGTATGATAGGGAAATGGGACAGGAGTCATTGCTGTAAACAACCGATAGCTAGAAAGGCGGGATCCAAGAGTCAATGCTCGATCCTGCAAGCACAAATAGGTGAATAGGTGAATAGGTGAGTACACACACACGCACACACACACACACACACACACACACACACACACACACACACACACACACACACACACACACACACACACACACACACACACACACACACGCACACACACACACACACACACACACACACACACACACCACACACACACACACACACACACACGCACACGCACACGCACACGCACACACACACACACACACACACACACACACACACACACACACACACACACACACACACACACACACACACGCACACACACACACACACACGCACACGCACACACACACACACACACACACACACGCACACACACACACACACACACACGCACACGCACACGCACACACACACACACACACACACACACACACACACACTAAGAATTAAGACAGAAAAGGACAGCTTGAGGCTTCAAGAAGACCTGGACAAGCTGAAGGAATGGTCGAACTAATGGATGTTAGAGTTTAACCCAAGCAAATGTAATGTAATGAAGATAGGGGTAGGAAGCAGGAGACCAGATACAAGGTATCACTTGGGAGATGAAATACTTCAAGAGTCAGAGAGAGAGAAAGACCTGGGGGTTGACATCACGCCAGACCTGTCCCCTGAAGTTCATATCAAGAGGATAACATCAGCAGCATATGCCAGGTTTTCTAACATAAGAACGGCCTTTAGAAACTTGTGTAAGGAATCTTTCAGAACATTATATACCACATATGTCAGACCAATCCTGGAGTATGCGGCTCCAGCATGGAGTCCATATCTAGTCAAGCATAAGATTAAACTGGAAAAGGTTCAAAGGTTTGCCACCAGACTAGTACCCGAGCTGAGAGGTATGAGCTACGAGGAGAAACTACGGGAATTGAACCTCACTTCGTTGGAAGACAGAAGAGTTAGGGGGGACATGATCACCACATTCAAGATTCTCAAGGGAATCGACAGGGTTGATAAAGACAGGCTATTTAACACAAGGGGCACACGCACTAGGGGACACAGGTGGAAACTTAGTGCCCAAATGAGCCACAGAGATATTAGAAAGAACTTTTTTAGTGTCAGAGTGGTTGACAAATGGAATGCATTAGGAAGCAATGTGGTGGAGGCTGACTCCATACACAGTTTCAAGTGTAGATAAGATAGAGCCCAATAGGCTCAGGAACCTGTACACCTGTTGATTGACGGGTGAGAGGCTGGACCAAAGAGCTAGAGCTCAACCCCCGCAAGCACAATTAGGTGAGTACACACACGTGTGTGTGTGTTTGTGCGTTTTTGGCGCTGGTGGCTGAGTGGACACCACCCTGGGCATGTAGTCCTGTGGTCCGTTGTTCGATTCCCCGGCACCAGCGAAAACAGATGGGCAGAGGTTCGTTCACCCTGATTCCCCTGTTACCTAGCAGTAAATAGGTACCTGGGAGTTAGACAGGGGTTAAGGCTGCTTCCTGGGATTGCGTGGAGAAAAATAGTTAGTAGTTATTAACAGTTGATTGATTAACAATTGAGGTGAATAAACACACACCAGTTGAATGCGGTTGAGAGGCAGGTTATCTTCTTGAGGTTATCTTGAGATGACTTCGGGGCTTTTTAGTCTCCACGCGGCCCGGTCCTCGACCAGTCCTCCACCCCCAGGAAGCAGCCCATGACAGCTGACTAACACCCAGGTACCTATTTTACTGCTAGGTAACAGGGGCATAGGGTGAAAGAAACTCTGCCCATTGTTTCTCGCCAGTGGCCGGGATCGAACCCGGGACCACAGGATCAC